AACCCGGGAAGCGGCGGCGGTATCTAGGTACATATTATTACATAGGCACCCCCTCATCAGAAAAAGTGATACACGTCCGTGCCCACAGAACACCAAAGTTTAATAGGAACTTTCTACGTCGATATCTTTACAACTACAATAGCTTTTTAAAATCTATCTTAATATTATTATACTACTACTATAGTAGTATTTATTAAGAAGAAAGGGGTTGTTATTATCTAAAGGCTACACTTAGCACTGTTCGATAGTGAGCTACTATATAGCGCTAGCTGAAAGGCAGCTTAGGAGTTGTATCACTTTTTCTGATGAGGGGGTGTAGGTGTAGGCACATATACTTATGCGAGGCAGCCCGAGGTTCAAGCGACGACGGCTGGTGTTGAGAGGGATGCTGTGGATTGGCTCCATGATACGAGGATCGCCAGGCATAGCATTACCACGTTTTGCTATCGGAGCAGAAAATCCTTCTCGTTCTAGTCGCTGTACGCGTCATATTATGCGCCCGTGTCGCCTAGGGGGGGGGAGAAGGGGGGTTGCGTGCAGGGAGCGGGGTACCCGTAATGTAGGTGTAGTGTGCCGACAACAAGTGCGATTATAATTGCGTACGTTATTATGTAAACTTTAGTTATATGAGGATCTCCTAGTCTGCTACCTAAACCAAGCGTGGATGCATGCATCGGCAGTGCCCCCCCTAGCGTCTCTCGATTCATGACCACTGTCCATTGAACCCATGCACGGCGAACTCAGCGACTTGCCAACCTTTAGGGGGGGTCTCTTGGTGTGATTTTTCCTGAAGCTCTTTGACCAAGTCTAGTGCGGATGGAGCATCAGACATGCTATTTACAACTCGCGCTCGTTGCCCGCTGGTACCTTTGAGATCTTGAAGCCACCAGGAGACTGAGTCTGGAACATGCCAACGGGGTCGTACTTCTTTGCCGCTGCACGGATCTTGGCAACGTTTGCCGCGCCATAGCCTCCCAGCGGGTTCTAGTTGGTCGTGTCAGCACGGTGATTTGCAATGGCGGGCCGGGGGAGGGGCCGGGACTTACTTGGTACGAATCGGCGTAGTTCAGATACTGCCAGGCAGGCAGTCCGCCCTGGCTAGCTGCAAAAGTCTGGAACTCCTCGGTGTACTTCTTCAGCAATGCGCGGGCGCGGACCTCTGCATCGGCGGTCTTGACTGCAATGTCAAACAGGAGCATGATGGAGTTGGCACCAATGTTCTCAACACCCATGACATTGCCGCCTCGCTCAGCACTGTGCTTGGCGAAAACAGTCGGGATGGCCTGGAACATGCACTGCGTGATGAAGTCGTGGTCGGTGGTAGATGCCTTCCACTCGTCTACAAACTTCTGGTGGCCATCAACAATGTGCTTGAAGATGACGGGGTTGTTCTTGAAGTTCATGGTGAACCAGATGTCACTGTGGGACAATCAGCATAGAGCTATGCTAGTAGCAGTTTCGGGACATACCGGTATCCAGTGGCTTGCTCGAGCTCATCAGTAAGGGCCTTGTGGCTAGCCAACCTCATGGTCGAGGACAAGGATGGGATGGCCAAGAACTTGTCGAAGCCTGGGGGGTTCACGGTTCCAGCAGTGTCTTCGTACGCAGAAAGGATGACAACATCGCCGACAGTAGGGAGGTAGCTCCAGAAGATGATGCTGGAGCCCTCGGGGTAGTTGACGACGTTGTCCACCCACGCGGTGTAGGCAGAAATCTGCTGCTCGGTGTAGTTCTTGGAGTAGCTCATGGTACCACCCCAGAGGTTACCCTGCTTGAACGTCTCCATGTCGAAGCGAGTAACAATGCCAAAGTTTGCAGACCCACCCTTGAGGGCGCGGAATAGATCGCTGTTGGCCGTGGCATTGACATTGATCACCTCGCTATGCAGGGTCAGTATACATGAGACAATAGGTGGGAACAAAATACCGACCCGCTGGAAAGGACAACCTCATTGTTCTTGACCTGGTCACAACCCCAGCCTCGCTGAGCGGTGAAGAAGGTGTTGCCTCCTCCAGTAAGGAATCCGGCAACACCGACGCTGCTGGCTCGGCCACCAGCAACAGTGACTCCAAAGGGCTCGAGGGCTGCGTACACGCCTCCCCACCTGTTTCCAGGCTGGATCTTTGCGAGGCTGGCGGCCGCATCGTAGGTAGTCTGGTTCATAAGACCCAGGTCAAGCGTCACTCCATTGTTGATGTTGTTGGAGCCGGCCCAGGTGGTGTGGCCACCGCTTCTTACGGCAAAGCTGCATCCAGTGTTGGCACCGAGTGTCTTGACAGCCGTAGCCACCTCTTGGGTAGAGACGGGCTGTACAATACACGTGGGGGCCAGCTGAGCGCTGACCGACCAGTACGAATCCGTGCGGGCCTTGTACTGGGCATCATCCTGCATGTAGATGTTGCTAAGACCAGCATTCTTCAATGCTGCACACTGTTCGATTGCGTTAGAGGTACTGTGGCTTTGACCCATCTTGGGAGAAATGATAGGCTTGGTTGGACGTACGCAAGATGGGGAGTTTCTCCCTTGAACAGCTGAAACATCTACTTCCAGACCAAGCGGCACTACGGATGCACGTACATCCTCGTACAGGCTTAGCAGCGCGACGAGCGTCGGCGTAAACGTCTTCATGGTGTAACAACGAGTGGAGCTTGGCACGTAGGAAGACGAGGATGTCGACAAAACCCAACCCTCTGGGTTCTCCAGCGGTATTAATTACCACGGGAAAATGAGCCCCAGAAAAAAGCGGATGAAGACAAGCGAGTCTGTAAAGCCTCCTGGTACCTGCATGTCGACCACTGCTGGATTGTGCCCCCAAGGTAGCACTACTCCGTTGCTTGGACGGGCTTAGTGGGCGGTGACTTTTTCGCGCCAATTGCCACAATATAAGCCCTTGCGCTTCGCCTCGCAGCACTGGAGCCACCCGCTGATCCGGATGGCAGTGGCCCACCAAGAAAACTATGGATGATTTTCATTGATCATGGCGAAGCACTCAATCGGCTGTCATATTCCCCGACTCGTTCTCCACCAGACGGCCCGATAGACGGTCCGTTTTGACGGGACTAGCCTACTCCGGCAACACCCGCTCAGTGCCTGAGTCGGCAGTCTTGGCGTGTGTAGGTCGAGAGACGGCCTGTCAAACCGGGGAGCCTATATCTCCTTCCTATAGGCGAGGCACAGATCGTCGACTCAGGAAGAGCGAGGCTGGGCTGGCAAGTGTTTTTTTTACAATCCTGGACATGACAGCATGGCGCCTATCGGGCTGTGTGACTACATCTTCATGACCGCTACTTCACCTTTGTCTTGCCATGGCTGGAGACGGAGTTACCATGTACGCCTATGAGCAGGCCGTCTCGTAAGATTCTAGTAGACATCATCGTCAGCAGCGAGTTGTAACCATCAGATCATGTGAACTGTGCAAGCCTTTTATCATCTCTTGGCCTGCGATGGCCATTGCGGATCTCGGCATCAAGGTCGACTATTCGGTGCGATTATGGCGGATCATGCAAAGTTCCCACTATTCCGTTCCGCACATGTCTCGGGAACCTGTGCAAGTGTCGCTCTCGAGCCTGAGACTAGTCTCTTGAACGCGATGTTCAATTTGCCTACCCAGAGAGGCGCAACCCGAAGGGGCCACACGTTCACGCCCATCCATATGAAATAATCGGGGGCCCGATCCTAGGGCTAGACAACTTGATGTTCACTTCCACTGTCCACTTCACAACCTCTGTAGTACCATCATGCCCAATGTCAATGGCACCATAACGATCATGCCCCCCCCTGAGGGGTATGTGGTCAACTTCGAGAACCCTCAGAGGAGGCTGACCACGGCTTCATACACACTCTTCATCGTTGAGAATATTCTGGCGTTGCTGTTCCTCGCCCAACGACTCTACACGAAGATCCACCTTATGAAGCAATTTCAGATCGACGATGGTATGGGCTGTGCCAAAAGCCAACCTCGACAACATGCTGACAGGACTTAGTGCTCATCATCATTGCTTGGATGTGCTCGGTTGCAACTCAAGCGTTGCTGATCGTTGGTTTTGTCTCAGTCGTCATTGGCGTACATGCTTGGGAGATTTCGATCCAACAGTATGGTTATTACTCCAGAGTATGTCACAATCACTTCTTCTGCTCTTCCTCCAAGCCACTTGTTAACACTGCAAACCTGTAGCTGATTTTGGCCGCCCCCCTCGTCTATGCACCTTGCTGCGCCCTTACCAAAACAACGCTATGCATCTTCTACAGTCGCCTATCGCCAGCTCGAGGCTTCCAGATGGCCGTTTGGACAACTGTCTTCATATGTGCCGGCGCATACACGGCAATCTTCTTCAGTCTGGTTTTCGCATGCAAGCCGATAGCTGCCAGCTGGAATCCGCTCTTGCTTGCGACAGCGACATGCTCCAACCGCGGTGCAATCTACATAACGACTGCCGTCGTCGGCATTGTCACCGATGTGATACTAATGATTATTCCCATCCCGACCATCTGGGGCCTGCAGATGCCGACAAAGCAGAAGATTGGCTTGACTATAATGTTCGCTATTGGATCAATGTAAGCCCAAGCCCCAGCCCTGTGAGTGTGTGAGCATATGCTGACATCATAAAGAACCATGGTTACATCCATCATACGGCTGGTAGTGCTGATGCCAGCACTTACAAACCCTGACCAGACCTGGGTAATTGGCGTGGGTAGCCTGTGGATGTAAGTTTACTTTTGCCGCCAGACGGCGCCAAAATTTGCACTATATGGTCTGACATGATCTACAGCATTGTCGAGGCAAATCTCTTCGTCATCTGCTGTTGTCTTCCCACCCTGCGGCGGTTTTTCAGACACGTGGCACCGCGCCTCATCGGTGAGGGCTCTCGCCAATCTTCAGGGGAAGATTCGTCCGGCAGGAACCGCGGATTGCGCTCATGGGGAACCACCAAGGTCGGCCCAAAGCGCCAGTATGACACGTTGATGAATACCATCGATGGCGGCAAAACTGATGGCGACGACGAGATTCCGCTTTCCAGCGTAGACACAAAAGAGCAATTGCGAACACGGGAATCCAAAGTCCAGGTCGGAGCGCGCGAATGCAAGGGGGACAACGACAGCGAGGAGGCCATCCTGTACGAGCGAACCGTCGAGGTCACTTATGAAGGTGTCCAGCCAGCCCATCCCACGAATCCGCAAAACCGCCAGGTTTGGACAGGCGGTCGTGACAGAGTATCGCAGGTTTGAGTTGGAGCTTCACACCATCACTACACAGACTTGTATGACAACACCCAATACGAATTCGATGATGCACAGGTTGTGATCATTTGACGACGAGAAACAAGTCTTGCTGAGAAACTGTGGCCTGCCTCGTATCTTCGTGTTGAGACTGGTGTGTGGGGCCAATCGATCCTGTGATCTCGGCCTGTCCATCCAATATTGCCAAGATAATGCAGACATTGTGTGACCTTGATTGCAGACCTAAGGCTCAAGGGTTCTCACCAGTCCTCCAATATCGTATTGAAAAGCAAGACGTGATCTGCTTCATTCGTGTTCCGTGGCGACGGGAAGGCGGAAGGGCGGGAGGGCGAACTTTTTGTCTGATCGTCCAGTCAAGCTTCTCAGGAGCCTTAGGCTCAACCCCTGGAGCCACCGGAATACGATGCCTAGCCAATCGCTACGTACTGCGAACACTGTCTCGTTTTTCTGGGGAACAAGTACCTCGCGAAAGCTTTCCCTTGTCCATTCGGGCTGCCATAACACTATCCTGGTTTTGCGCCGATTTCCTGATGGTATGAGCTCCTGTTTCATCCGATATTTCCAAGTGCAAATAGGCATGAATTTCCAACCTCTCATATTTCAGAGTGGCGAGTGTGGGATTGAAAATGTTCCCATGCAAGCAACGCGAAATTAACGCCCAACGCGAACCACCCAATGAGGTAAGGCTTGAACATCGATTCATGGGTGAATGCGACTTGGTAGAACAAATCGGCTTCTTACGCCACCGCATTACGCTCAAGCTATCTCTTTTCTGTAGGTTAGCCATCTGGTGTGGCATGCCGCTTGGCCGACGGCAGGTGTAGCGGAAAAGCCAAACGCACTAAAACGCCTCGAGTATAGTCCAGGCTCAACGAGCCGAAGCGCGCGAGATACGGGCGATCTGTAGAAACATCCCTGGCATCTCAGTCGAGAGTGTAGACCGGCCGTCGATGTGTTGTAGAGGGTTTAGGTCATCGCGGTTTCGGTACTCGTGGGAAATGAGACAAATGCAACTTATGGCCCGAAGATACTGCACGAGCCATATGTCTCATGCATCTGGCTATCTCAAGTAACATGTAAAGAGAGAATGGAATGGAAATGGTGGAGTCAATCACACCGACATTTGAGTGTGCTCTTGTGGTGGTCATGCCTGGTTTGGACCGGCCATAAGTAATGCAGCATTGATTTGACCGTGCGCGCCTGATGCGATTCGCGCGTGTGGGGCGTGTCCGATCATTTGGTTTTCGAAGAACTTCATGTTGTTGTGCAGAGCGAGGTTGAAGAAGAGAGTGTTGAATGCGAGGTCACACCTTGTTGACGTGTGGCCCGTGATTACGCGATCCAAATTTGGCTAAGTATTTAGTCGCATAAATGTGGTAACCTGCATGGACGCGCAATGACCTAGGACGCGCAATGACCCACCCCACCAAAAAACCTATTGCAAAAGATGAGGCTGTACAGCCACCTATAGTCGCTATTATTACGAGATTTTATAGTGTTATAGTAATTATAGCATTGCGATCATAATAGGCTACTTGTATCTACTTAGTAGCTTAGTAGTGCGGCCGTGGCGGGTGGTCTAAGTTAGGACGGCTAGTGCAGCCACCTTAGCTTATACATAAGATAAATTAACAACAACACGTTTCTAACGCTTTTGCTTTTGAGAGGAGCCTTGTGAGGCTTTGCGCTTACCCCTTTAGGATAATTGTATAGCTTTTTCAGCCTCCCGGGCTGCCTTTTGAGCCTCCTTTTAAGCCACCTTAGCGGCTCTCTCCTTCTCTCTCACCTCCTTGAGCCTCTCTCTCTCAACACGCTTCTCCTGGGCTATTTGAAGCTTGTACAATTGAGCTTGTCTCCTTAACTTAGATCTCTCAGCTTTCTAGAGTTGTAATTACTGTTGTTCTTGTTGTCGTTCTATCTTTTCCTCCTTGGCTTGGCGAACCTTCTTAGGAGACCAAAAGACAGCTCCTCTATAGTACTCCTTAGGCCTATTGAGTTGAAGCGTGTAGCTCTTCTTTTAGTGTCTCTTTTTAACCTTTAGAGCCTCCCTTAAGCCCTAGTTTTCTCCTTTAAGTATACTATTTTAAGCTAAGAGGTGATGG